GGTCTAGGCCCGAAACGTCAGCCTCTCTGCTCCTATGATGCTGCTTGACCTGCTGTGTTCATCCAGCCCTGCACCTTGTTGTCTTGGATTTTTAGGTATACCTGGTTCTGTTCCTAGAATGCCCTTCCTCACTCTCTATTGAACCAAGGCTGATCCCTTGGCATGATAGTAATGATAGAGTGAGGTTACGCAGGAGAATGAGGTTGCAGATTGTGTTGGAGTACAATTCTGCTGCTGCCGATGGCCCACAGCGCCTCATGGATGCCCAGTCTTGAATCAATAGATCTGTTCAAACATTTTCTCATTTAGCACAACAGCAGTGGCACACAACATGATGGAAGATATTCTTAATGTGAAGGCAAGATTCCTCCTCCACCTGTACTGTGCAGTGGTCACTCTTACCGATACTGTCATGGACAGTGTCATGGACTGGGTTTTCAGCAGGTAGATTGGTAAGGATGAGGCCAAGTATGTTTTTCCCTCTTAGCGGTTCCTTCATCACCTGCTGCAGACTCAGTATGGCAGCAATGTCCTTTAATACCCTACCAGCTTCATCAGTAGTGCTGCTGCTGAGATACTCTTGGTGGTGACATTTGAGATCCCCAGAGTACATTCTGTACCCTTGCCACCTTTAGTGCTTCCTCCAAGTGTTATTAACATGATGTAGCACTAATTGCTCAGCTGAGACAGTACAGTATATAATAATCAGCAGGAGGTTTCCTTGCCCAAGTTTGACCTGGGGCCATGAGACTTCATGGTCTCTGGAGTCAATGATTTGATTTGATTTATTGTCACGTGTACCTAAATACAGTGAAATGTTTTGGTTATGAGTAGTACAGACAGGCCATAGTAAGCAAGGACATACAGATCATAGGAGGAAAAAAACCCTGGACAGAGGCATACATGTCACGTCGCACAGGGCATGCACAAGGCAACATCAACATTTGCAAGATCAGCATTATTTGAAGTTAGAGAATCCATTCATTAGTCTAATAATGGCAGGGAAGAAGCTGTTCTTAAACCTGCTGGTGCGTGTGTTCAAGTTTCTGCAGCTTCTGCCTGATAGGAGAGGTTGTAGGAAAGCGTTACCGGGTTGGGATGGGTTTTTGATGTTGGCAGCCTTTCCGCTGCAACGAGCTTTGTAAATGGAGTCCATGGATGGAAGATTGGCTTCCATGATGGTCTGGGATGTGCAAACCACCTTCTGTAGTTTCTTACAGTGCTGGGCAGAGCAGTTGCCATACTAGGCCATTATTCATCTGGACAGTATGCTTTCAATGGTGCATCTGTGAAAGTTGGTGAGGCTCTTTGTGGATATGCCAAATTTCCTGAGCCAACTGAGGAAGAAGACGCATTGTTGTGCCTTTTTGACTGGCACATCTACATTGCAAGTCCAGGACAGGCTGTCAGTCATTGTCACTTGTAGGAACTTGACGCTCCCAACCCTCTCAACCTCCGCTCTGTTGATGTAGATGGGGGTGTGTTCTCCTCTTTTCTTTCTGAAGTCCATGATCAGTTCTTTAGTTTTTCCAAAGTTGAGAGAGAGGTTGTTATTATTGCACCATGTCACAAAGCTCTCTATCTCCTTTCTGTATTCTGCTTCATCATTGTTTGATATCCGTCCAACCACAGTGGTGTCATCAGCAAACTTGTAAATGGCATTCATTCAGAATTTGGCAACACAGTCATGGGTGCACAGGGAGTAGAGTAGGGGCTGAGAATGCATCCTTGGGGCCTTCCAGTGTTGAGTGTTATCGTGGAGGATGTGCAGTTGTGCATCTTCACTGATTGCGGGTCAGAAAACTGAGGAACTAGTTGCAGAGGGACTACCTGGGCGACTCCCACCTCCAGCTGGGTCTATCCTGCCGGTGTGACAAGACATATCAAGATGGTGGTGTCTAGGACACTGTCTGTTTGGTATATCAGGCCATTGCTTGATTCGTCTGTGAGAAACCTCTCCCAAATTTGATACTAGCCCCCAGATGTTAGTAAGGAAGACTTTGCACAGTCGATACAGTGAGTTTTGCCTTTGTTGTTCCGCTGCCTAGGTCAATGCTGGTGGTCCACCTGGTTTCATTTGTGTTTTGAGGCTTTATAGCAATTGTTACAACCAGGCAAGGACAGCAGTTTCCCTTCCCTAAAGGATATCAGTGAACCAAATGTGTTTTTCTGATAATTGACATAGAGTCATGGTTATCATCAGACTCTTAAATCCAGATTTTTATTGAATTCAAATTCATTCATCTTCCATGCCAAACTTCAGACATAGGTCACCAAAACATTAGCTAATCCAGGGGGATTAATAGTCTCACACTAATTCCATGAGGCTATTGCCTCTCTAAAACTGAAACAATATCAAAAAAACTGTTCAAGTGCAAGAACAATGTCAACCCAATGTAAATTGAAACAGATTATTTTTAATCCCATCTGGTTTATTGTCAAAACTGTATTTCGATTACTTTGAAAATCAATGGACCCCTGCTCAGGGCTTGTTGATAAAGGAGAATTTCACCACTCCCTACCTGCATTCACCTATCATCATCCCACCTACCTTCCCCAGCCCCACCACTCCTCTCTCTATTTAGTTCCCAGCTCCCTTCCCCCTCCCCATTTCTGAAGAAGGCTCCCAACCTGAAAGGTCAACTTTCCTGCTCCTCTGATACTGCCTGGCCTGCTGTGTTCTTCCAGCTCCACGCTGTGTTGTCTCTGTCTCCAGCATCTGTAGTTCTTTCTATCTCTGAATTTCAAAAGTCTTACTGGATCTATTTTACATACGCACTCATTTGTAGGTGTATGGAAGTTTGACAGATAAGAGTTCTTCCAATCTCTGGACATATTCACATAATTGAATCACATGAGAGAAAAACTCCTTTTATTCAGTCAGAACAAAATACTTTGACTGTTTAGTTGCAGAACTAGATCCCACACTGAAGCATTACAATACTTTGTAAAGTAAATAGTAGCCACAATGTGGAATCACCAAAAAAATCTTACAGTTTGGTTCCAATGTTGGTGTTTTAGGTACTTTTGCATTGCAATCTTACTTTCCTTAGGAATTATGATTCCCATCTAATGGTCTTTCCAAAAATTAGATGAAATGAGCAAGTTCATGCCTAAGGACTCTGTGGTTGCCTCTGCAATGTTTTGGGGGATTATGGGCTAACACCTAATAACAACTGCCCAACCCCTCAAGAACAACAAAAAAAAATCAGAACATCTGGGGTACTTTCCCTTGAGTCAGAATTGGGAATTTTCCTGACTTGGGCTGCTGACTTGGGAGAGAAAATTCAGGGGCTGGTCAATAAAGGACTCCTGATGAAGGGTGTAAACCCAAAACATCGACTTTCCTGCTCCTCTGATGCTGCCTGACCTGCTGTATTTGTCCAGCTCCACACTGTATTGACTCTGACTCCAGCATCTGCATTTAGTTGCTACTTCCCTGGGGCTGGTCTTTATACTTCAGAAGAATTATTGAGAAGGATGACATAGTACCTTGGTGATTGGTCCAGAATGTGCCTGATACTCATTCCATTCTGATTTTACAGGTAGTGGGATTTTCATACTCCGTACTGTCCCGTTTGCAGCGCCTAGGAACAACATTCGCCCAGAATGTGACATAACGACACAGGTATATGCAACATCATTCGATGGAACTTCCCGAATAATCTGAGTAGGAAGGAGCAAAAGTAAAAGAGCAGAAATGATGCATAGAGTTTCAGTCATGGATCTACTTCATCTGTAAAGTACGAGGTTTCAATCTGAAAATGAACATGATTTTAGAAAGTTTGGACAGTAAAATAATGTAATTATGTCAATTTACAAAGTATATTTCATATGTGAAGGTACATTATTGACCTTACTTTACTGAAGTGAAAAATGCTGGAGATCACCAGAACTTTAAATAGAACAGTAAATTCTGTCATCCTACAATAAATACATGGCTAGTAATAGCCTTCTTTACTTTGAATTTAATATTTTAAAGCAAAGTCTAAACAAATAAACTGTTTCTTCTTCTGGGTCCTGAGACTAGCGAGATATTATTTCACCTTTGGGGCTTAGCCGTGCTAGGTTGGCTGTTTAATAGACAAGTTATGAAAAAAGCGAAGATAGGAAAGCCAAAGGAAGCCTGGTAAATTTATTTGAGGACAACCTTCAAGAGTCTGAAGGAGGGTCACTGGACCCGAAATGTTAATTCAGTTTTCCACAGATGCTGCCAGGCCTGCTGATCTTTACCAGCAATTTCTGTTTTTGTTTCTGATTTACAGCATCCACAGTTCTTTTGTTTTATTTTCAAGAGTGGGGCACCACCTAGGCTGGAGCATAAGAGATTGCAGTGGTGGAATCTTGCTGCCCATTTTAATGAATGAGACCAGAGGAACTAAGTCTAAGTAAGTAATGTATTGATATTATACAGATGACATTTACATTATGGTGTTGAAAAATACAGCAAAATATGACAGTCATCCATTTACTCAGCACCTCTTATTTGTTAAGCACATAAAATTGTGTTGAGAATTTGTTGCAACAGGATTATTGTTTTTTTTACCCAGCTAAAACTGTTAAATGAATAAGAGTTTTATTTGATTAATCACAGAAATATTAAATAATGTTCTTGAAAATTTGGGCCTTGAACTATGCCCACTTTACCTCAGGATATAACAACCCCTCAGCTTCACATTCTACACACCTGGGAATCAGTAATTTCTTTCAAAGTTCTAATATGACAACCCCTCAGTTTCACATTCTACACACCTGGGAATCAGTAATTTCTTTCAAAGTTCGATCAGACCCCACTGCAAATATGGTTTTACTATCCGGTGTGATACAAAGGTCAGTGTAACTGCAGGACTTCAGTACACACTCCAATTCTCGCTTTCCGGTCAGTGTATTCCATTCATACACTGCACCATCCATACCACAGGAAATCAACTTACTATCATCTGAATTCCAGACAATAGCACGAATCTGTTTGGGGAAGACATAGAGGAATGTCAGAATACTGTATAATTGTTCAAGTGCACACTTTATCATGTATTTTACAACATTCCTCTGCATCTGTAAACAAAATACATACAAAATGAAATTCTCTATTTGTATCTATTTTCTGTGCTGAGCAAACCAGCAATCTATAACTGGTTACATTTATTTGTTAGGTAGCAACATTCAATTCTGCCTATTGTAAAAGGTCACTCAAAACTGTTTGGGGGTCAATAAAGATAAGTTCTTAGGTTACGGTTATTTGGAGAAGGAGATGAACAAGAATAGAAGCATGCTCCATGTTAGGCAGTAAAATGAAAGCAAAATGCAAGATCCTGGAGATCTGAAATAAAAACAGAAAGTGCTGGAGAAGCTCAGCAGTGCAGGCAGCATTTGTGAAGAAACACTTCTTGTGAAGAGAAACTTCTTCAGAAAGTCACATTGGTATCAAAACAATAATTTTCTCCACCAATGCTGCCCATTCTGCTGAAATTCTCCAGCAATTACTGTTTTTATTCCATACTAGGCAGTTAACTGTGCTGCTGAAGTTTGCTGAACTACATGAGATGTTTGAGGACTGAAGAGAGTCCTAGAACTGTTGAATAGCTCTACAGGACTTAAGTCCTGGGAGCTGGGCTGGGGGGAAACGGTTTTGATAATGTTCAGAAGAAGTTATGTGCCGCTGATAATTCAGTGCAGCAAGTAGCAGATAGTGGAAGTTAAAAAGCCTACCAGCAGTATTTATTTTGTGCAAATGGGAAAGATTAGGTCTTGGAGAAATACAGTACTAGTTTGATAAAGTTAGTTGTCAACAGGTAAGCTGAATCAAGCCTGTAAGTAAGTATGGGTGCAATTTCAACAGCACAAAAGCAGTCAGTGAAGCAGGCCAAAATGAAATGGCTCTTGAGAGAGTTTCAAGGCCACATTGGCAAAAGTCAATAATTATGATTCGTCATGCAGTCTACTGAAACTATTTAGACAGCTAATTAGGTTCTGTTTGAATTAGGAACAGAAGGGGGCCATTTCACCCCATTTCCAATAAGATCAAGGCTAATTTGTTTCTGTTTCGAATTTCACATTCTTATTTACCTAAAATAACCTTCAATTCCTTTCCATACCAATAATCTATCAACTTTAGCCTTATAACTATTCAATGATCCAAACTCCATTCCTTCTGAGGCAGAGTTCCAAGGTTGCACAAACCTCAGAGAGAAAAAACATTTTTCCTTACCTTTGTCCCAAAAGGCATCTCTAATTTTTAAATAGTGCCCCCTAGTTCAGAAAAAGAAACATCTTTTCCAAGTGTATTTTGCCCTGTTATATGAAAGATATTATTAAATTGGACAGGGTTCAAGAGAGATCTACCAGGATTCTGCTGACAGTGGAATTTTTTCACTAGAGCGTAGGAGGTTGAGCGGTAACCTTATAGGGGTTTATAAAAGCATGAGGGGTATAGATAAGGTGAATGCCAGGTGTCTTTTCCCCAGGGTGGGGGATTTCAAGATGAGGGGTCATATTTTTAAGGTGAGAGGATAAAGATTTTAAAAAGACACGAGGGGCAATTTTTTTTTACACAGAGAGTGGTTCATGTGTGGAATGAACTGCCAGAGGAAGTGGTGGATGAGGGTACAATTACAATGTTTAAAAGACATTTGAATAAGTATATGAATATAAAAATGTTTGGAACAAGCATAGGCAGGTGGGACCAATTTAGTTTGGGATTATGGTCGGCATGGACTGGTTGGACCAAAGGGTCTGTTTCTGTGCTGTATGATTCTATGGCTCTGTGACTGTATGCATCTATAATCTAATGTCCTCTAATGCCTTGAATGGTTGTCTCCACCGTAACCTCAGTCAGTGCATTTCATTTTCTAACAACTCACTGCATAATAAAATTTTTTAATTGCGTCATCATTGCTGCTTTTTCCAACTACCTTTAAATGAGTGTCCTCCCCATATTTCTATGCTTTCTAACTATTTTCCTTAAAATACGTTGTTATGACTCATGTTGTTATGCTTTACTGCCTTCAAAGTTACTGTTTTTACTTTTAATGTTCTTATTCTGTGCTTAAAATATTCAGTCAGTTGTAAGATTTACAAAGTCCTGTTGTCCATACCCTGTTTTGAATGTAGAATTACTTTTAGGCAATAGTTAACCAAGGCTATGGATTTGGAAATTGTCTTGGTTATTTATTAATCGATCTGCTATTACACATGTTTATACATTAGTATTGCACAATCCTGTGTGTACTCATCCTTTCAAATAAATACTGGATGATTTTTACCATTTTCTATATGCTCACCAGTATGATATTGTGGATGTTTATAAATATAGTATTGCCTGTTGACTAAATCATTAAATGCAGGCAGACTGATAAGGTTCAAGAAAATCAAAAACAAAATATGCAGAACACATAATGCAAATTATCCTGAAACTCACCTTCCCATTGTGACCTTTAAGATTAACCAGGTTTTCAAAGGTGGTTGTGGAATGAATATGAATGACATTTCCATTCACAACTGCAAACACATGTCCACCATTGCTGAAGGCACACTGAAAGAAGATTGATTGATTGATTGATTTATTTACAAATTGTCATGTGTATCTTGTCACAAAATATAGTGAAAGTGTTGTACAGTGTCATCACTCTCCGGCGCCATCTTAAAACACAGAAAAATAAACCAAAACATGGAATATACAGGCAAAAAATGAAAAATTAAAGAAAGAGTCCAACTTTAAAGTCCTTCTTGTAAACTGCTCCGTCATGGGCTGTAAGAAAATATGTTAAAAATTATAATAGAAGCTGGAGACTCCAGCTGGAATTGAATGACTTCCCATGAACAGGTTTGGTGCTGGGAGTGGCGACTAATTGGGCAGAAAGTGGAAGAGTGGACATCGCATGTTGTCACGTCCAATACGATGACCACCAAATGGAAATGTTCATGCACAGCATCACTTCCTCCACTCTGAGTGAGTCCTTTAAGTGGTCATTTAAGGAGCTAATTGCATGGTCGCTGATATTGACCCAGCAGTGGGCTGCAAATTCACCACATGGGAAGTCCAAAAAGTAAACCCGTGTGAGGATGCTTGTGGGCACGCAGGGTGTAGTGTTTTGTTCAAAGGTACTCAGTATTTGATTGAATGTCTCACCATCAGATAGGAGGGAGTGAGGGTTGTAAAGAAGAGGTTGCTGCTGAGAGTTCTGCTGCCAGTCCCTCTCACCTGCAACTCCCACCTGTGCCTGGCCCATTGACCATTCAGGGCTTTTGGGTGGATGTAGTACCAACAGCTGCCAATATCTCCTCGGTGTCACTCAAGAGCTGCCAGTTTCAGCTTGGTCAGCAGATCTCAATGGATAAGACCTCTCTCCCTAGGGTCCTAGAGAGGGACTAGCCGATTGGCACTTATTATAGCACACCTTAAGAGGGAATGTGAGACTCTTGCTGGTTCCAAGATTAGCAGGCAATTCCCCCATTATTTCAGTTAGATACCTGTGGCTTTCTGGATCCATATAAATGACAGCATAAGTTTATTGAGAGTTGAAAGATGTGGTTGGTCATAATTACAAAGGCATGGAAGATATAAACTACACGTAACAGAAAATGAACGAGAACTTTGGCCAGAATCATCAGTGGTGTACCTCTCGACAGCTTCGAATTGTGAATTCTTTGAAGGTTCGGATATCATCAATTAACAAGTTCATAAGTCGTAACTTGTCCGAGAATCCAACAAGAATATATAAACCAGATGGGTGAATAGCAACACTGTAAGCTTCTTCCTGAAACTCTTTATATAGCTCCAAAACACTATTAGGGAATAGAAACTACCAATTAATAGAACTTATAAAAAATGTGGAGGAATTCACTTATAGCTCATTTCCAATCAAGAGAATTTAGTTTTTAAGTGTTTAAAGTATTTTACATACATGCATTCTTTCAGTCATTTCATCCGAGTCTTTTACATAAATATTAAAACGTTGGAGCCCCCAGCATTGATCCCTGAAGCACATCACTCCTTACAGCTTGACAAACAGAAAATGGTCCATTTATGTCTAATGTCTGTTTCTTGTTAGTTAGCCAATCTTCTATCCATGAAATATGTTGCCCCTTTCCTTTTATAACTTTTGATATGGTATTGTATCAAATTACTTCTGGAAACCCAAGTATAGCACTTCAGTTGGTTCCCCTTTATTTACAGCATATGTTACATTTGATTTGATTTGATTTATTATTGTCACGTATTGAAATACAGTGAAAAGTATTGTTTTGCATGCATCTTCAAAGCTTATCAATATAAAAGTTAAACTGATTTCCCATTCAAAAAAAAAGTTGACCTTACCCAATTACCTAGAATTGCTCCAAGTACCCTCCTAAAACATCTTTAATAATAGCTTCCAACATCTTCCCCACAACATATGTAAAGCTAAATGATCTGTAGTTTCCTGCTTTCTATTTCCTACCCTTTTTGCAGAAAGGAGTTACATTTAATCACAACACAGTCAAGAAATAAGTCTAGGATCTTCCTCCTAGAGGACCTCAGTTTCTTTTACTGGTTACTTCTATAGATTGTTTCATCACCCTCAGTTTGTCCCAACTTTTGTTAACTAGCCATGTCATTCACCAAACTAAATTCATTCTATAGGGTCTTGTTACAATATTCCAACTAGAACTTCTCCATTCACTAAATTACTCATTAATCTAATTTGAGATGATGGCACTGGCTTGAAACCTCCATATATACTTCCAATTTATATTTTCTCCTTTATTAACCCATCTGGAAGACAACTTGTATTATCAGCCAGTATCAGAAAGTGACTTGCTATCATGTCTCTCAATATCTTTATGGTTTACCTCCTTTATTAGAAGAAAAGAAAATCTCCTTTATCTTTCCATAAAATATTCAGAACCTTCAACGGTCTAATTATCTTTATCAATGATCACGAATAAATTTTCTTGACCATCCTGTATCATTTCTCCCTTCTTAGTAGTCTTTAATGAAATATGCTCCCTTTGTACTACAGCTACAGTTTTAATATCTATTTCCTTTCTTGATGCCAGTATCTCTAAGGATTCCTAAAGCATGCTATTATTACAATTAGTCTAACTTAAGTTATAGCAATTAGCTTTCATATATCCAGTCTTGTTACAATGGAAACATGCAACATTCTTCATATGACCCTTAAGTTCCAGACTTTCTCCTTTTTAATTTGATGTCCTTCTGTTTGTTCCCTAAAACTAATACATTTTTCATTCATAGGCTTTCTATTTCTCCAATGGTGTTGTGAATTCCCATATGACTATTTTCCCACATGTAACTGTCTGCGAGATATCATAGGTATCTGTCAGAATGGCTGCATCTCAGATTTTTGATACTTTGAGCTTATCTAAATAAGTTTTAAGTTTTACTAGAATCCTATTGCAAAATTCTTCTAGAATTATGACTTCCCTCATGTTCGCAATTTTTTATTCTCTAAATTCAGTATTTGAAACCACTGATCACAAACCATTCTTTTTTCTCTTACGTATTCTACAAATGTCTAATTAGGTTTCTTTCTTAAATTACTAAATTTAAAACAATAAACTTTATGGGTAAGCTCATAAGCTTCCAGTTTTACTTTTTATAACAGTTTCATAGTTTCTATATTGTTCTTCTGACAAACTACATACACATTCAAAGTTGTACCTGTCAAAACACTCTAGAACATTAAGGTTGAACAATTACCTTTTTAAATGAGGAAAAATGTCTTTCAACTTAATGTTCTGAAAATTTAAGCACCAAACATATATTTCTAATTAAATCTTATCTCCCACTGGAATCAGAACCATTCTCTGAGTTACTACCTATTCCTACTTCCTTTGTTCTAAGCTTTTCACTAGCCAAGTCATGATTTCCTTATCTCTTGGAGTTCAAGTTTTTAAAATTCAAGTTTTTAAAATTCAATTTCATTGCCTTTCCTTTCTCTTCCCTTTCCACTTTTTGTTTCTTTACTCTCTCCTCATTCTCCAATTAAAGTTTTATTATTTCAAATGCTCTTTATCTTTCTTTCACTCCCAAGTCTTTCAATTATTTGATGAATCTTAACTAATTTTAGCAATGACATAACAAGTTCAGGTTTCCGTCCTTTTTAATGCCAAATGCTGAGTAATTGTTGTAAGTATCTTATGTTTATGAGATGGGATAGTAGGAACTGCAGATGCTGGAGAATCCGAGACAACAGGTTAGGGAGGCAGGGACGAGCTGGACTGGTTTTGGGATGCGGTAGGGGGAGGGGAGATTTTGAAACTTGTGAAATCCACATTGATACCATTGGGCTGCAGGGTTCCCAAGCGGAATATGAGTTGCTGTTCCTGCAACCTTCAGGTGGCATCGTTGTGGCACTGCAGGAGGCCCAGGATGGACATGTCGTCTGAGGAATGGGAGGGGGAGTTGAAATGGTTCGCGACTGGGAGGTGCAGTTGTTTATTGCGAACCGAGCATAGGTGTTCTGCAAAGCGGTCCCCGAGCCTCCTGTCCAGCTCGTCCCTGCCTCCCTAACCTGTTCTTCCTCCCACCTATCCCCTCCTCCCGCTTCAAACCGCACCTCCATCTCCTACCAACCAACCTCATCCCGCTCCCTTGACCTGTCCGTCCTCCCTGGACTGACCTATCCCCTTCCTAACTCCCCACCTACTCTCACCTTTATTGGCCCCATCCCCGCTTCTTCGACCTGTTTGTTTCCTCTCCACCTATCCTCTCCTCTATCCATCTTCTATCCGCCTCCCACTCTCTCCCTATTTATTTCAGAACCCCCTTCCCCTCCCCCTTTTCTGAT